TCTAGTCTCTCATTGTCAAGTTCATGTTCCGGATCTTTGCTTAGTTGATCTCTTCTCATTTGTGCATGTGTTTTCCACTAGTCTAGTCTCTCATTTACTAGTTCATGCTCCGGATCTTTACTTCGTTGATCTCTTCTCTTTGTGCATGTGCTTCCACTAGTCCAGTCTCTCATTGTCAAGCTCATGTTCCGAATCTTTACTTAGTTAATCTCTTCTGTTTGTCCATGTGCCTTCCACTATTCTAGCCCCTCATTGTCAAAGTTCATGTTTGATGTGATGTTCCGGATCTTTACTTAGTTGAACTCTCCTCCTTGTGCATGTGCTTCCAGTAGTCTAGTCTCCCATTGTCAAGTTCAAGTTTGATGTGATGTGCCGGATCTTTACTTAGTTGGTCGCTTTTTTTTGTGCTTGTGCTTTCCACTAGTCTAGTCTCTCATTGTCAAGTTCATGTTATATTCCGGATCTTTACTTAGTTAGCCTCTTCTCTTTGTGCATGTGCTTTCCACTAGTCTAGTCTCTCATTGTCAATTTCATGTTTGATGTGATGTTCCAAATCTTTACTGAGTTGATCTCTTGTCTTTGTGCATGTGCCTTCCACTAGTCTAGCCCCTCATTGTCAAAGTTCATGTTTGGTGTGATGTCCCGGATCTTGTTTAGATGATCTTCTTCCCTACGCGTATGTGTTTTCCATTGGTCTAGCTTTTCAATGTCATGTTATTCCAAGACATACTTATTCAATCTCTCACTATGGGACGGGTGATCGACGTTTGGTTGCTGCTACCGGGAGCTGGTTTAATTCGGAGTTCTTCTTGTTTTTTTTTTTTTTTTTTTCTCTCTCTCTCTCTCTTTCTCTCTCTCTCTCTCTCGCTCGCTCGCTCTCTTCCTCTCTCTCTCCTTATCTCCCCCTCTCTCTCTCCTTATCTCCCCCTCTCTCTCTCCTTCTCCCCCTCCCCCTTTTCCTCCTTCCCCCTCTAGACCCCTCTTTCACCCCCTCTTTTATCACCTCGCCTTCTCTCTCCCTCTCTCCAGTCCCCTCACTTGGCATATGACTAACCCCTTCTCCCCTCACTTGGAAACATTGCCAGGGTACGGACGGTAAAACAAAATCAGACTTCACTTGGTGGAGAAAGAGGGCAAGGGGAGGATAGCCGGTCCCTTGTGCCACCAAGGAGGCAAAAGAGAAAGGACGTTTGAAAAAGTGGGAGAAAGGCGGAATCCGGAAGAGAACATAAGTTGAAAGTGAGGTCAGTTTGACTCAACCATTCCCCGACTGCATGACTATGAGAAGAGAATGGGCTGATTGAGCAACAAGAGGGAACAAAGAGCAGACAAAGAATTTGAAAAGGTAGGCATGTGGTTAGGGCTATGTGTTGACCCCCAACGCAGGATTGTATGGATCTTCTTGCTTGTGTGGGATTGTGCAGGTGAGTGATGGCTAGAAATGCCTTGAGCGGGATAGGGGCGAGAGGAACTGGGCACCAAGAGGGAAAGGGAAGATGGAGAAAGGGGCTATGGGACCCTTGACCATGGAAATGACTTTTGCGCTTGAAGACTTGGGGTGTAAATGAGAGTGCAATCGTACCAAGGAAAATGTGATGTTGTGTGTGCATGCATATAGGGACCCCGAAAAGACTAAGGGGCCTACTTCAATAAGGAAGAAAGCAAATTGTGAGACCCGATGGATGCGTAAAGGCGAGGGAGAGGACGGTTCCGCCGCACCCCGATAACGCCATATAGCCATAATGCTTAGGGAAATGCTGCGTGACCTAAGGATGACGCTTAGCCTACGCACAAGAGAAGAGAAGCACTCAAAAAATCCTTGGACTGCCTGCGCATTGGAAGGAGCAATTGCATGAGAACACAACAAAGAATAAAAAAAATCAGCGTTGCAGAACGACCAGCGAGACTACCACCCGGCGTGAGGGTTGAGCTACATCCCCCATGTCAAAGCTCTCTCGCGCGATGGCCCGCCCCCATCCATCTCAAAGCACTAAGTGGGGGTGACCTCGGGACGAACGGCCCGCGCCTCGAGCATGAGCGTCGGCAGGCCGAGCCGGATGGGACCCGCAGTGGGGTCGACTAAGGCTCGAAAGTCTACCGGGGTTTGGCCCTACAAAAATGGTGGAGGTGCCGGGTATGGGGTTAAATTAACCTTTGCGATTTCGATGGGGGCGCTCGACACATTGAACGTGTACACAACCTAAGATAAGGAAAATGGACTTGTGTTTGCTCTTTCCCCTGTGAGAAATCAGATTTGAGAGTGGTAGAGCGCATGGCATGGCCAGGCCTGGAGGTATAACATGCATGCTATGCACTTGATCAGCCTTTCCTTTGAGAAATGGCTCTAGCCCTTCTTCGGCCGGTGCTGGTGTTCGCCAGTCCGAGGAAGCCTTGGGCAAGTCGCAGGTCGACCCTTCCTCTTCGTATGAAAGAAGGGCTCCGGTTACCTGGCAGGCGGTTGGTGCTTGGCTTAGGCCAGGTTCCAATGAAAATCCCATGGCGGAGKGATCCGACCGAATGGRTGTTTTCCCCTTCTTCTTTGAGCCCAGCGGGCTCATGCACTTTGCATTTTTTTAATGATTGAAGGAACCAATATGAACACAACGGGTCATCAAGAAAGAACAATCCAGCCCTATGAAAGGACAAAAAACTGAAGAAAAGGGAAATGAAGGGAGTTGCTAGACTCCAAGGAAATCTAGCTCACCCTTGAAGATTCTCATGAAAAGGAACCAACCACTATGTATGAAAGTAGGGGGAGCGGCACCCATTATCCTGAGAGAAAATCTGTGAGTTATGGGTAGGAAGCGCTGGGTGCACCAAGGGAATGGCACTTATACTATGTGTGTCCCACTTGGGACTTGTGTTTGCATGATGGGAGTCGAGCGGCCTGCCTTTCAGAAGAAAAGGATTGGTCTGCACCGACGAGTGCGGGTTGCGAAACGTCGTTATCTTTTGTAGGTTGCCGTGTGTTCGTATGTGGAGGTCAGGTCACCGGGTTGTCGAACGGGAGTTTGTCACGTCGGTTGATTAGTAGCATTCTCGTTCGAGCGGTGATGGACTTCGGCTCGATGATCTGCAGGACGGGGTGTGAAATCTCCTCAGGCGAGGCTTAGTCTGTTGGCTGGCGGAGGGAGTACCACTGCATGCGGACAAAGACGGAGCCTCGGAGGCGATTAGTAGCTTCTCGTAGCATGGTTTTGGGAAAGGCTGATTCTTGTCGGACCGATGGAAATGAATGCCCGGACGGCTGACTTTGTCCCTGTATTTAGACACTCGAGGTAACCCTCGGTGTCGGTATGGATGTGCAAAGCGGCAAGACGGGATGGGGTATTCTGGGTAAGGAGGAAAGGGCGAATGCCTTGCCGAGACCTGGGTACCGCGCTCGCGACGGTTGAGCTGTGCTTGAGGCATGGGACTAAACTCTACCGATAGTACGAACGGAGAGACCATATTGGGATGGCCGGTGAGGAGATGACCGGCCCGTATGTGAGGTTGCCTGATTTTTTTATGTGTTCCCCCTTTGTAAAATTTGATTGAGTTTGGATTGTTGGACGGAACATATTTTTAAGTCTATCCCCCCCCCCCCCATCTAAGTCCACACGAGTGAGAGATGATCGGAAGGAAGGAGGATAGAGGTCAATTGGAATGGAACCAAGAGAAAGAATGTGGGCAAATGGATGGCCGGCCGAGGGAATTATAGGAAGGGGGTACTTAGGAATGGGGAGGTAAAGTAGAGAGACCTTGATGAGGGGCCTGAAATAATTCTCATCTAGGACAAGGGTTGACCTGACCAAAAGGATCGGTTGGTGCCTTTTTATGAAAACAGGGGTCAAGTGCTGAAAACAAGATGGCGCGATGGTTGCCTTCCCCGATCTATACTAGCTGCTTGGAAATGCCAGTAGATGTAAAGGATGGGGTATCGGTCGTCGTCCCGGAAAATGGGACGTGGGCGGACCTTGAACCAGCATATCAAACGGTAATGCTGGAAGGAGAGGATGCTTTCCTTTGGATAAAAACAATATGGACTAATGTCATCTTGACGAGGTTGTCACCAAGTTTAATAGATTTGGAATTCCGAGGGACAGTGGTAGCCCGGGGGTGGGTCTACTTGTCGCAAGATGGGGAGAAAGTTATGATCATAGAGTTGGCACTCGGGAATATACCGAACGAATTGTTTAGGAAGGCAGAAGCAGAGGTTGTGTGGGCTGCATGCCAACGAAGCGAAATGGAAATGGAAAGGGTAGACGTACGGGTGGAACTTGGGGATAGAGGAAGCATGAGGCGACCCGTAAGAACCATGCGATGTGTGTTGCCCCCCTTCCTAGTGGATGCAGTTTTGGAACCCGGAGCAAGCTAGTACAGATATGCCAGTCCATGACGAACCTCGGGCTAAACCAATGCGCTGGGCAAGATTTTTTTCGGTTATCAGTAGAGATGGGGTCGTTCGAGGGGAATTGGGCGGAGGAGCTGGCCGAGATACTAAACTGCCTTAGCATAGAGAATATCTTTGTCCCTAGCGCTGTGCATTGGTTGATAGTCTACAGGAATGTGGCAATAGGGGAGACATTTCTAGATGGGGTAAGGGAGTTGGTGTACGACGAGGAGGACGACTTCAGTGATGAAGATGAAGGTGAAGAGGTAGAGGACTGGGACTTCTAAGAGGGGTGGGGTGACTTAACTTAGGAAGGGCGGGTGGCCTGGTATTGTGCAGGAAAGGGAAAGATGACTAGAGAAGAAAGGATGATGGAATACACCTTCAAAGGCTGGGAACCACGGCAACTCAAAGGAGGAATAAAAATGCCTATACCAACAGGGAACGTATGAAGGGGGACCACGTGCGACAGGATCGGGTTTGAGGTTGCCCGGGACTTGCCATATGTATGGATAGAGAGGATTTGGAACCCGATAACGGAAGAGGAAGGTTGGGATGATATAGCAGAAGGCAAGGTAGAATCAGTCGGAACGATTGTCCTTTCCGAGGATGGATGACACCTGTTTTGCACCATGTTAGCAATGGGACAGGACCCGATGTGGCTTCTAGGGGATGCAGAGCCCCGAACCCGAAAGGAAGGCAAGCGGTTCGCCAACGAGGGATGGGACAAAGTTAGTAGCAGAGTTGTGATGGGAGGATGGAAGGAACTTGAGCCTCCAAATCTACGGATAACGGCTTGGGTACCGGAGTTCATAGCCGAGCGGTTTGGGGGGTTTAAGCACATTTTAGAAGTAGTCGACTCCATGAGAAAGGTGCATATAGAATGTGCTTGACTGACTGAGAAGTTTTATAGGCTCTCGTTGAAATATGGGCCCTTCTACGGACATAAAGCCGAGGAAGTCATCACCGTCCTAAGAATAGGCAGGTATGACCGCCTAGAGGTAGAGGTGGACTCTAGGGACGTCATAGTTAGCCGGGAGGCGGCGGCCGCACCCTCCTACGTAGACGATGTCTTTAAACTATTCGAGGTACTGTGGTTCGACTGAATGAGGCCAAGGGATCGAACACCGCGAAAAGGCCTGAGCATGGAGGGTGTTTGTGAATTGAGGGTAACATAAGAAAGCGAGTGTGAACATGAGGCCATAGGTGGTGCATAAGGATCGAAACAAGGGGGAAGTGGCAGCAACCGGAAAATGGGGAGGGGTAAAATTGAACGTGTATGAGTTGGGGATAGCGGCAAGAACCAGTGTACGATAAGTAGGGAGGGCTGAAAGACTAAAACACGAAAGGCATGGAATCGTCGTGGGTGCAGCAATCGGACTAAGAAAGCAGGAAAGGAGACATTGCAAGATGGCCCGACGAATGACGTTCTGGGAGGATAGACCTCGTGGGATCCTGCCACCGAGAATATCAGAAGGCAGGGTCGAAATAAGCCCGCCAGCAAGAAATGCGGTAAGCAATCCGGTAATGGACTGGGTGGGGGTAGAGTTGGTGGAGGACACGGTGTACCTAGTAGTGGAGCTGGAATGGCGTGCGAGAGAGTAGTTCGGGGGCGTAAATCTGGACCTCCCAGGGCGAGTGCATGCGACGGGATCCTTACACATGTCGGAAGAAGGGTGGCGGACCGTTGGTATTGCCTTGGCCTCCGGGGATGACCCCGTGCGAATGTTCGAAGGGGCATGGCAAATAACCTGGCGCGAGGGGTTTGAGTTTGCAGACCCGGAACGAGATGACGTGACGGCGGAGGTAAAAGTTGCCGCGGCAGGGATCTTCGAGCTGCCCAATGAGGTCGTACGGATGAGTCTACCGCCGTTTCTGTTGAGGCTAATGGGAGGCATAGAGCGAGTGGAGCAGGCGGTAACTGCCGTAACTAGGCTAAATTTTGACGAAGCGTTAATGTATCGAGAATACTATCGGGCCTTCCTAGAGATGGGGCCTTTCGGGGACGAACAGGGGCGCGAGGTGCTTTGCATTCTACAAGCAGTAGTAAATACTAGGCCGAGAGTCCCACAAATAAGTGATGAGGCCATGTGGGGAATCATCCGGCGGGAGGTAGGTCGGGGCGCGACCTACGTAGATGACCTCTACCGGCTGTACGAGCTGCCAGAGGGGGCAACTTCTCCCAGGGGTATGGAGGGATAGTTGGGACTAGAAAAGAGGAATGAAAATACGAAGGACAAGGAGGGCAGTAGGTGGGCGGTTTCTGGGGATTGGCTGTAACCCTTTCTATGTGGACTATGTAGGGAATCACCAAGGCAACGATGGCAGCAAGACGTGAGCGAATGGAACGCCAGCCCCGGTACCCCGGACCACCTTGGAATAACGGTGGACGATGGGAAGTATCCCTCCCGTCGAGTTCTACCTATCGGGGATTCGACATAGAATGGCGGGCCGTGACTTTGGGACAGAACGCCGCCTTCATGTTGGTAGAATGTCGGTGGACAGGGATGAGACTCAATCGAGGACCCGGGGACAATCTGTATTCCAATCTGGAAGTTACCGGGACCATGTATCTGCATGAGATCGGTTGGCACTCGTTGGGGGTAGAAATAGCACAAGGTCATGAGCTGGCACCGATCTTTCGAAGGGCCGCAAGGACGTTGACCCGGATAGGACAATCAGTCAGGGGTAGAAGGAACGTGGGCTTACTTACCCGGGTGGAAATGGGAGGTTGGAGGGAGTTCAGGGCACCGACCACGCCGTTGAGATGCCGAGTGCCCCGTTTTATGATAGACCTCGTCTTGGGAAGCCTCGCAAGGGCACAGGAGTTGGCAGACTCAGCGATAGTCTGGGCAGGGCACTTTCCCTCCCCTACCATTGGGATGTTTTACGATGTCGTTGTGGAGCATGGGCTGTTCTGGGGAAACAGGGCCCACGAGTTACTAGAAGTCATCCACATCCTGATGTTTAGGGCGCCACGGCTAGAGTGGGCGGGATGCGAACGCATAATCAGGAGGGAAATTGAGATAGGAGAGAGTTATTTAGCAGGGGTGGCTGAACTATTCGAGGAGCCGACCGAACCAGAAGAGCCGCGAGGGCGAGAGCGGGACTATAGCATCCACAGGCGGGTCGATAGGGCAGATCAAGTATAGTTCGCTGCGTACGGAAGTTCGCCGATGGGGATAAGAAAGGGGCCTCGGACCTGGATGGCTAAAACCCACTAGAAAAACAAAGAAGGGGGCAAACTCCTGATGATTGACCACAACCCTGAAGGTCAAAAATAGGAAACGCTGCTCGGGAAGACTTCCCCTAGCAGGATGCCTAACCCGAACTCCCTCGCAACGGCCGCCAGGACAAGGGCACTACAAACGAGCTTGTGATAAAGGAAGCCAAGTCACGTTCATAGCCCGGCTGGGCGGCAGGGCCAGTCGTGGCTCCTCCAATGACAATCAGGAAACGGGGATAGGAAAGGGGGCTATACAGATAAGCCAACAGAGCTGGGAGCCTAGGGAACCTAAATACCTCGCATTGCGTGTGTCCTGGGAATTCTTTGGCTTATGTAGAACTAGGCAAAATGGCAACGGAGGGGGCAGTGCCGCACAAAGCGAAGGGGGCAGAAGGACAGAGAATCGATAAATCCGGATGGTACCAAAGGGAACCGGAAGGAAATCTCCACAGGAGAAAGCTCGGGGAAAGCCGAGGGAAGCAGGCAAGGGACTCGGGATACCAAAGAGGGTAGAAATAAGGATAGGACAAGCCCTCGGAACTCGAAAGGAGCCGTGTCTAAGAAAGTAAGGGTCACGGATGCAAGGCGCAAACTAACCAAGATAGAAAAGAGGACTGCGAAATACAAGGCAAGATTGATTGAGGAAATGATGACTGGGAACGAAGAAGGCCCTCTGCAGGAGGAACCCCGGGACGAACGGAAAGCCAACCGAGGTGGGACTGGACAAGGGGATAAAGGTAGTGACTGTGGGGGAATGCCGAGCAAGAGAAGGAAAGAGAGAGAGAACTCTCCGGGGATGGAAGCAGAAAAGGCTACGACTCCGCCAACCATGGATAGTAGGGCTAGCCGCCTGCCGACCCTACCAGCAATAGCACGAGGATGCGAAGGACTTTGGAGCCTTAGGGAAGGAGTGTTGGAATGGTTTGACCCGGAAGGAACTATGAAAACCAGGGAGGGACAGAAGGCCGACAAGGAAGGTCCGGATAACAGTATGGCAGGCGAGGCCAGCAGCTCCGAGGGCGGCCTTAAGAAGATAGAGTCGTCCCTTGCGCGAGCACTAAACAAAAATCAAGGCTACCTAGCGGATGCTAAGAAAAAGTTGACGTTTGATGGGGCGAACATCACGGAATCCCTGATAGATTACGAGAACTTGGTTGCGCTGTTGAAATGGACCGAAGAAGAGAAGATGGACCACCTGGGGCAGCATGTGTCTTTGAGCCTAGGGCGGGACGTAATGGCCATTGTGGCCGCGAGCCGGTCTTGGAAAGAAGCCCGAGATGTGATGATGAGAAAATATCTGGCAGCAGAGAAGATGGCAACCGAGGCCGATTTAGCGGCAGTCCGGAGGAAGAACTTTGCAACGTACAATGACTTCCTACGGGAGTTTACTTTGGTAGCACTAAGAATCCCCGGCGTCACGGACCGAATAATCAGTAAGTACTTCCTTAGACAGTTCTCCGAGTTCGACAAGGACAAGATTCTGTCGACTTACCAACAGACGAGCAAATTTGTAAACACTAGGGACGTTGATTTCAGTACGGTAACGGATCTGTCCGAAAAGACGGTAGTAACGGAGACATTGGCCTTGCTTAAGGAAGGGGAGGTCATAAACCTGACCGGTAAAGCAAGCGACAAGGTAAAGAAGGGGATTGAAAGTCTACATGAGCGGGTGCACGGGGTCGACAACAAAATTGAAAGAATGGAAGGCGCGCTACTAGTTATGCAGGCGCAAGTATCCCGACCCGCCCTCCCTCCCAGGAAGCTGTGGTTCCACCAGGAGTAGCCAACCGGGGATTCGGACGGAAAGATCCTGCTAACGAGCAATGCAAGTATTGTACTGCGATGGGACATTATGTGCGTGCATGCCCAAAGCTCAACCATGATATCCTAAAAAGGAGATGCACCAGATATTCGGACCAGAGGGAGAGCGGGTGAATTGGAACTCACCAGGAGGAATGCGACGAGCCGTCATCATGCTCAATTGGTTAGAGATAGCGGTCGTAGAAGCTGAGTCAGTGGTCGATATCGTTTGGGATCAATTGCGGGGCCGCGGGCCGCAGGCACACTTTATCTTGGAAAACGACGAACGTGATAGGGTGAACGCAACCACTCGACTAGGAACGGTTGGCAGAAGGATTAACCGTGACACCATTATGGAGGAGGTCGCCGGAAGCTCCGAACCCCAGGCAGAACCTGAGACCGAGAAACTAGAGAAAGTCTATAGGAAGCCTAGGGAAGAGGAGCCTGCGGACAAAGTTACTGCCGCTAAGAAGAAGTTTCGGTATCAAATTCCAATCTTAACCTTGCCTGAGCTCGACGACACCATTAGCAAGTTACTAGGAATTATGGTGTCAGTGTCTTTTCAGACCATGTTGCAGGCTAGCCCTAGGTTGCTCAAAGGGCTTAGACGACTGTTGACTCGGCGGCGAGTAGAAATAGGTGACAACCCCGAATTACCAGAAGGGGAGAGGGAGGAGGAAGCTCCGCAAGAAGTGGCTAACCTTCAGACGAGTCACGGGGACTTGGAGGATCTCGAAAAAGCCTTTGCAGACATTCGTTATAGCTTGCCTGACCGAGAGGGCGGCGAAGTCATGAGATCACCACCCGGGACGAAGCTTAGCTTTCATGCGCTGCCCGTAGGCAACCTGAAAATCCAGATCGGGAGTCATCATACCGACGCATTAGTAGACGGGGGAGCAGAAATCACTCTCATAAGAAGAGATTTCGCAACGATCACGGGTGTACGGTAAACAAGGAAGTAACAGGGAGCATCCGGGGAGCTAGCGAGGAAATCTCGTTCGCTGGGTACGTCATGAAGTGTGCTGTAAAGGCAGGAGTCAAGGAATTGATCTGGTCGTTTCAGCGGATGACCGTAATGGAGGAAATGGACCACGACATAATCCTCGGGACACCGCGGTGCGCGAACGTGGAGATGATAGGCATGCACTTGCACGATGGTTCATACATGGTAGACATAGAGGATCCAGTGACCGGCCGGGGAGAGCTCCTCCGACTCCTTCGAACGGGAGGAGAGCCCCCGAAGGGGAAACTGGCAACATGGTCGCCATCGTTCGAGGATAGCACGCGAAAAGGGGCTTTCGCACGAATGGAGGGTATGAGAGAAAGGGTAGAAATCATGATTGAGGAAGCATTCAACAAGAAGGAGTGGATCAAGATGGGCCTGCCCCAGAAGAAGAGGAGGCAGGAGGACGAAGCCCTAGGTGTTATGGTAGCCGAAAAGGAGTCAGAGGTCGAACTTGGTGCTAGCCTGCCCAAACGGAAAGAAGTACGCATAGACGTGCCAGAAGTCGCGCTCGAGATCCCCGATCTGTTACAACTCGTCAAGGCTCTCACATACCACAAGGTAGAAGTGGACTCAGCAGCCTTGGTCAAGTTCGAAGGGGAGGTGCAAAAGGGATATTGCCTGAACGGGAAACTAGTTAGTATTCAACCACGAGTCGTAGAGGCGACGGGGGCGATTCCGAATGTTCATTTTTTAGGAGAAAGATCCCGGAAGGAAGTKTTCGAAAGTACAAGCCGGTAGGGAAGAAAGCAAAACCGGTCTCGATCATGCCAGAGAGATCAAAGGAAGAGGCTATGGAGAAGGAGGAAGAGGTCCTTCSAGTGATCCGAGAAAGAAGGGCGACGGAGGGACATCGGATACCAGATGAGGTAGCTGACACAATGAAGATAGGGATAGACGGGTTCTTAACGGAAGAAGAAACCCGCCTGATCAAAAGCACCTGCCAGGAGTTTCCCCTGGCATTTGCCTTTAGTGATCAAAAGGACCTGCCAGGAGTTTCACCAGAAGGGACGACTGGATGCGAAGCTGATCCCTCCAGTAAGAATCCACACGGTAGAACATGAGTGCTGGAATGAGAGGGGGCCATCCTATGAATTTGGGATAGCAGGAGAAGTAGCAGACCTCCTCCGAGCAAAGATGGACTCCTTCGTTGCGGAGCCTACGGTGTCGCCATACGCAAACCGGTGGTTCGTCTTTCGAAAGCCTAACAAGACACTAAGGTGGATTCAGGATCTGCAGAAATTGAATGCGGTAACCATCCGGGATGCTGGCTCACTACGTCACGCTGACTTATTAGCAGAATCGCACGCCGGTCAGAGCATTTACTCCCTGATAGATCTGTACTCAGGGTACGACCAGCTTCCGTTGGATGTTCGGGACAGGCCATACACCGCTATGCACACCCCCGTAAGCCAACTACAGATGCAAGTGACCCCTATGGGATTCACAAACGCGGTGGCCGAAGCACAACGCAGGATGCTCGCCGTGGCAGGGGACATGTTCCTAGAAAAATGTGAGCCTTACATCGATGACAATCCGATCAAAGGCGCGTAGGAGAAGGACGAGACGGAAGTCTAGCCGGGGATCCGACGTTTTGTGTGGGACCACCTGCAGGACATCAAGGACTTACTCCGCCGGTTCTTAGTATATAACATTACGGCTAGTGGACCAAAGAGTATCCTAGCAATACCGGAGGTAACTATACTAGGATTTCGTTGCGGTGCTTACGGCAGGAAGCCGGATCCGGCAAAGACCGACAAGATATCACAGTGGCCGACACCRCTSCGCACGACGACGGAGGTAAGGGCRTTYYTAGGCGTAGTCGGCTTTTGGAGGATCTTCATTAAGAACTTTACCAAGATTGCTGAGCCTATCCGGGCTATGATCAGGGAAGAAGGAACCATGGATTGGGCGAAGGAGCGAGAGGGAGCCGTCCAGACCCTCAAGGACATTCTGACGTTGAAGCACGTCGCTTTGTCGGCGCCCTGCTTTAATGATGAGGTAGGACGACCATTCATCCTGGAAACAGATGGAGGGCCCTTGGCCGTAGGAGGCGTACTGATTCAAAGGGACGAGGGAAGAAAAGAGAGGCCAATTAGGTTCGAAAGTAGAACACTGAACTCCGCAGAACGGCGGTACTCGCAATTCAAGAAGGAAGTCCTAGTCATCCTGCATTGCCTTAAGACCTTCCAGGCCTACCTATTTGGGAGGCGATTCATCTTAAGGATCGATCCGACGAATGTCGCAGGGGCTCTAAAGAATTACAGGCCTATAGATCCGACGGTGGGGAGATGGGTAGGATTCATCTGGCAGTTCGATTATAAGATCGAACGGATTGCGGGGATTAGGAATAAGGTTGATGGGCTCAGCCGGGTCTGCATCACTCCTGAAGGGGTGGAGGATGCGGAGCCCATAGACGCGTTCCTCGAATACGAAGGAGGAACTCTTGCGGTGGATAACGAAAGGATGAGCGAAGGATGCACGTCGGGAGAACTATTGATCCAAACTTTGGAGAAGGGGGCACCTGCCGTAGTAGCAGAACTTAGAGAAGGACCAGTCACCACTCGAGGACGCAGAGAAGAAAAGGACTCATTGGGAGCGATAGTAGGACCGAAAGAGGAGCTAGTAGCAATGGCGGTCGAGGGAGGCCGGGAAGCAGTGATGAGCTTAGTGGAATCTTGGGAAAGGAAAGAGTTGCAATGGGTGGTAAACCAGTTGCAGGAAGGAAAGGATGGGGGCAAGGAAGGAGAGGAGTTTTTCGATGTCCAATCACGAAGGGCTCTTTCGGGAGATCGGGCTGTTATTGGTAGGAAACAAACAACCTACGGAAGTCAGTATTAAAGCAAGAGAAGAAGCCGAAAGGTACGTCCTAAGGGGCGGGCATTTGTTCCGAAGGGAGGAAGGTGCTATGCCCAGAAGGGTTGTGTGCGGAAGATCTAGGCAAGTAGATGTTATCCACGCAATGC